GCGTGGAATAGAAATGGAATAGTCAGATGATTTGAGTGTGAAAACAAAACTACATGAAGATGACTCCATCAAAAAGAAAGAGGTCCAAGATCTTCAACAAATGAAAAATCAGTCCAAGAACTTCTAGAAAGCGTCAAAAAGTCCAGAGATTTTCTACAAATGGCAAAATAGTCCAAGAATTTTTTCAAAGGGCAAAACAGTCCAAAATTCTACTGCAAAGGAAAGATTAATCTGAAAATCAACTTTAAATGGCAAAGATGTAATTCTCTTAAGTATGAGCTTAAAAGGAAATAATCAGACTTGAATTTCATCTATCATCATTTGGTACATGGATATAGGTATTCATAATCATATGTTAGGATCAATTTTGCTAACAGTGCTAATACTTTTCATATTATTTTTCAGCACATTATATGAGTATGCATAAAGTAAAAAAATTTCTAGAACCTCCTAGGAGTATTCTAATGACTTAAAATATATTTTGAATACTAAAAAAAAAAAAAATAAGAGGTTGAAAACAGAAATTTGTAAGTGGCTGATCCAACTTTCCTATATCTCGACCGATTGAAGCACTTTCCAGTTAGATCGACGGAAACAATTTAATGATACAATTTAGTTTTCTAATTAAGTTTACTTTCTGATACAACTTAGTTTTCTAATTAAGTTTACTTGATCTTTCTTTATTTTAATAGGTTAAGTTTAAAATGTTTTTCCCTAGAAAAGATACTTTAATTCTTCTAAAATTGCCTATTCAATTAATTTTAATTTATTTTATTGGAGTCAAGTTTACTTGGAGCCCAAAAACTTTGTGCGGGGAGTAAGTATTATTCTCTATATATCCAAGGTCTGCAAATTCAAATCGAGTGTCACAAACCGAGTGCCACAAGGTCTATTATATCTATATCTACACCTATATCTTTTTATTTCCTTATTTATAAATATATTTACTATATTTTTTTAATTCATAATGTGACATTTAAACCATTTTTTATATATATTTTACAATACAATAATTATCTATCTACATCTATACCTATATATACTATTATTAAAAATACAAAGTGTTTCAAATCAATTAGAGAAGAAAATACTACAAATAACAAATATAGTACTGAAATTTCATAAGTCAAAATCTAATTATAGAATAAAATATATAATATTAAAAAATTAAACTACTGAAATTAAATAAAAGGAAATCTAATTTGAGAAGAAAATACTAATAATAAAAAAAATATTTATTTAATTCAATAAAAAGAAATCTAATTAGAGAAAGAAATACTAATACTAATAATAATATAGTAGTAGGAAATACTACTACTAATAATAATATAGTAGTAGAAAATCAAATTAGATAAGGAAATATATAATATTTAAAAACTGAATTACTGAAATTCAATAAAAGAAAATCTATAATATTAAAAAATTATTTAATTTAATAAAAGGAAATCTAATTAGTGGAGAAATACTAATAATAATAATATATCAGTACAAAATACTGAAATTCAATAAAAAGAAATCTAATTAGGGAAGGAAATATATAATTTATTTAATAAATTCATAATAATAATTATATATCAAAATATACCAGTAAAATGCTAAATTAATAATTCTATATAGGAAATTATTTTTATATTTAATTTTTATAATTTATTTGTAAAATTTTATAATATTATATATTTCAATAAATAATATGTTTTATAATATTATTTATATATAATAAATACTAATACAAAAATATTCTTATATATATATATCATTTACAAAAAAATTTACTCTCTCCATTCCAAAATAGATGTCTGTTTTGGGAACTATGATTGTTCTTTTCGTTAGACTTTGTAGTTATACACACACTTCCGCTCAAGTGCATGACACGTGTCTTTTACTAATACTATTATAAAAGTATAAGGTTTTTTTTTTTTTTTTTTTTTTTTTTTCAAACATTTTCACTATTTATTAAAATCAAAATTTGACATTTGAAAAGAATATTTAATAGAAATTTTAAAGATGATATATCTATCTATATCTATATCTATTTTTATCTAATATATATATATATATATATATATATATATATATATATATATATATATCTATCTGTATCTATATCTTTTCTTTTCAATATTTCTAAATATTTTTACTACATTTTTTAAAATCATAACGTGACATTTAAAAAAAATTCTATTTTTTAAAATACAATATTTATAATTATTAATTTCTATTCAATTTTAAATTTTAAAAAGCACAAAATTAATCACTCTAAAAGATTCCTACATAAAGTAAAAACAATATACGTAAGTTATGCTAAAACTCAAATGTCTATGTCTTCGTTAATCGCACAATGTTAGAAATACCCAATATGAGACCAAATTCATGCTTCAATTTATTCTAAAATAAATTTATATCTATATCTATATTAAGTTTAGATAATTTAAAATATTAATTTATAAAATAACTTATCTAAATTTACAAAAAAAAAAAAAAAAAAAAAAAAAAATTAGATTTTTAATCGTGTACATTACACCCCAAACTTGAATTGGGTTTAAAGAATTTTTTATCATACCTTTCAAAAAATTTTATCATACCTAACCCTAACTCTATAAAGTGTGTCCCATACGCGCAATATTAGAAGTGGGGCATGCGCCGAGTAAGGTGAAATTCCCCCCTATTTGGTTGCACGAGCTTATGGTCTTTCCCTTGTACTTTTATTTATTTATTTTATTCTTATTTTTATGAAATTATAAGGTCATCCTGGTGGCTATCCACCCAGATGACCATTGGCCAAATGGGTTGATGTGGCTAGCCACTTAAAGTGGCCAGCCCAGTCAGCCAGTATAGTGTTGGCTGGAGTATACACTTTTATTATTTGTTTTTTCATTTTTTTGGTAATATTTTTAAAACTTTTTTTTTTTTTTTTCCAATTGTTTGTGATGAATATAATATTATTTATCAATTGTTTGCTTCTCATATATTTGTTACAAAAAGAAATAAATAAAAAGATATTACAATTTTCTCACAAAGGAATAAATAAAATAAAAGGCCATTGCATATTTTCTCACAAAAAGAAAAGAGTAAAAAACCAATAAATTATATATTACATATAACCACCCTCTTGATTGAGTTAATTCAAGATTGTCTTTTGTTGTGCGATGATTCATGCTTTGCTTCTTTTGTTGGAGCCTTATTTGGATGTTGACGCATCATCTCTCTTTCAAATTCCACTCTTTCATTCTCATATTTGGCCATTCTTTCTTTTGATTCTATCTCCAGTTATTTAGTCCACTCTTACGCCATTCTAATTTTGATTTTGGCTTGGATTTTCAATCGCTCTTCTTTGAATATGGCTACAAATGAGCGAAGCCGAGCAAAGGTCTGCTCAGGCTCGGGCTCGGCTCATTTAATATAAATAATATATTTTTTTTAAAAAAAAAAACTTGTTTTCAAAATTAATAAGTATTACCAACGGGCCAGTTGCCTAGTGGTATTAGCCTCTTACTTCCAAAGAGAGGCCATGAGTTTAAGTCTCAAAAGAGACGTGTGTGTGTGAGTACCAACTAGGAAAAAAAAAAAAAAAAAATTAGTATTTCACAAAAAAACAAAATTAAAAAATCCAGAAGGTAAACTTATATTATAAATATAAGAATAATGTACATCAAACCTGTAACATAGACAAGCCCAAATTAAATGATACAGTCGAAATAAGGAACCGCAGAGACACTTTCAGTCCAAATAAGGTATAACGAGCCCGAGCCTTGTTCGCGAGCCTTAACGAACTTTAGCGAGCCCATATTTACGAGCCTATACGAGCCTATACGAGCCAGGAAATTGAACTCGGGTTTGACTCATTTACTAAATAAACGAGCTTGAGTCGAGCCCTTAGCGAACCGAGCCTGAGTTGTTTATGAACATCTCGGGGCTACAAGAATAGCTCGGTTCATTTGCAACCCTACCTTTGAGTCCTGCTACGTTCACTAGGCGGTCTTGTTACTCAGAATCTTGAAATTCTATCACGAATAAGTTTTGCATTTTTCGAACAGATTTATTTTTGTTGTTACGCTTCTTCACTGGTTTTCGTCCAAGGGGTTGTGGCAAGTCATTCACTAAAAAGTGATTACTTATAAGTATCCAAGCTAATAAATAGGATATGAATTAGAACATTCAATCCGACAATTTATTAATAATCCAAATTCAATAATCAGTTAGCTACACACACCGGATATGAATTTTGGTCGATCGGATCTGATAATAATTCGATCCAATATAATATAATATATAATATCGTGTAAATTTATTATATAATGCTATAATATACAATAGTTACTGATTATTAAAATGACTTTTTATCATTTTTTTTTAAATTCTTCCTTTTTCCTCTCTATTTTGTCTCTGTTTATTGTATTTGTCTTTAATAATAAAAATATTTTGGTCGATCTAATCTGATAATAATTCGGTCCAATATAGAGTAATATAATATATAATATGGTGTAAATTTATTATATAATGCTATAATATACAAGTTACTGATTATTAAAATGATTTTTTTTTATCATTCTTTTAAAATTCTTCCTTTTCCCTCTCTATTTTGTCTCTGTTTATTGTATTTTTCTTTAATAATAAAAAGTCAAATACCTACTTTTCTATTATTATTTTTTTATATTTTATTTTTTCTTCTCTAACTTCTATCATTTTTTTTCCTAATCATTGTTTTCTAATCTCAGAAATAATATTTTTCAAATCCAGTTATCAAATTGGACATCCTATTAATAACAAAATTATATATGGATTTAATGATAAATAATTCGTCAAGATGGGATCATATATTACAACTCTTATCGGATTATGTCTGAACCTGTCCATATCCGATCTGTTTACGGGCCTACTAATAGTTTCAACGTACAGTCTCTACAAACATCCAGCCATTGTTACTTATTGACAGCAAGCACTCAAACCAATTGCAGATAAGCAAATTAAGAAGAACCCACCAACCTATTGCAAATATGATGTGCCGAAAACCCTTTTACCATTGAATTGATCTAATCAGTCACAACGATTTACAAAGAAGTATCGAACTCAATGCAAGTATTCATAGAAGTATACTAATAATAAAAGGTGGGTACGTGTTCTAAATTAGAGCTAAAAAGACAGAAAATTTTGTGCTGTGTTAAGAATCATGCTTTCCGTTGGAGAAATGTCCATTCTGACCAGATATGGAGTTGGAGTTGTTTTCTGTTGATGTGTCTGGTCCAAGGCTGTTGTCATCACCATCAACTGATTGGAGAGCTCCATTGTGATGGCTACCTTGAAAGAGCGATATTGCATCAGGTCCGTATAGCTGAGCCAGCTCCTCCTGTTTCATCATTAATCAATTCCATTAATATATCACCAAGTCTTTATTGACACATTATGTCATGACATTCAGATTTGAAAAAAGGAAAAAGATTTTGGACAACTCAGAACTTCCAACTGCTAATAGAATTTGTCCACTTTTTCTTAAAAAGGTTCAGCCAAGCACAGAGGTTCCGAAGTTCCATGTCTCTCCCCCCTTCAAGTCCATTTCCCCATTTATAGGCTTATTAGGTTGGTCATACCAGGCATCATATGAAATAAAAAATTTAAGTCAGCCATACATAAGATTAACTCAAATGAACCGATGTAATATGGTTTAGTTTAACGTCATGCATATTGTTCCAATTGTGAAGGTGAGTGTTTAGAACCCCTAAAGGCACCACCTACCTAGGCTACAAGTTGGGCTGGCCCAACCCAGCCCAGTCCCAACCCAACCTCAACCCGAATTGGGTTGGGTTGGGTTGGGCCAGTTCGAATTGTATCCAACATGGATTATGGTCATATAACCCATCCTGAATATTTTCGGACGGGTTGGGTCGGGTTGACGGGTTGAGTTTTAAAAAAAAAAAAATTTCGGAAATTTATATATATATATATATATATTATATTTTATTATTTTTAGGGCAAAATCATTTTAGCCTCCCTAATCGCCTCCATCCCTATTCTCTCTGAACTTGCCACCTCTCTCTCTCTCTCTTTGCAACTGCAAATTACAAAATCTACAAGAATAAGAACTTCAAAACCCATATATTTCAGTTTTATCTATCCGTCTGCAAGAATCAAAAGTTCAAAACTCATATCGGTAAATCATTTCAGATTGTTGAAAAAATCAAAACCTAGATCTTTTAGTTTCCATCCCCCGCTGTTCCAGTTCGTGTTCGCCGTTTGCAAGCTTCAGCCGCTGTCTCTCAACTCTCAAGCTTGCCCCCCTCTCTCTCTCCAACTGCTAACTTGAATGTGTGGGGATGGCAGTAGAGAGAGAGATAAAGAAGAGAGGGGAGAGAGAAAGGAGAAAAAAAATGAAAAAATAAAAAATTATTATTATTATTTTTTATTTTGGGTTTTGGGTTGGGTTCAGGTTGAGCCCGAGCCCAATCCGAATATGTTTGGGTTTTGACAAAACCCAACCCGAACATGAGCCCGATTTGTGAACTTAAAGCCCAAATTTCAAATTTTCGGGTTAGGCTTGGGTTGGGCTGAGTTAGCCCGCCCAAGTTGCAGCCCTGACCTACCTAGTGAAAGTGGTATATTTCAGTCGTCGAGTTGAATTTTCCTTTCAAGTCCCCTCAAATATCGTGTTTTTCTTGAGCCTAGACCCCATCCCCATTAACCACCTCCACCCAAAACCCCCCAACCCAAAAAAAAAAAAAAGGTTAAACTTTCTGTGCGATCATAATTTCTAACTTATAGATTTCTCCACGTGGATAAGGAAAGAAAGGTTAAAAAAACAAATCAAAATCAAAATTTTTGTGCAATCAAAATTTCTAACTTCTAGATTTCTACCCATGACAAGGAAAGAAAATAAATCAAAATGCAAAAAATTGGAGTACAAACGTAAAATAGAAGGGTTAACAGCAAACCATTATGGAATTATTATCAGATGTGAGCTTCTCACATTCCTCGGCAAGCCTTTGCATCTCATCCCTCATCGTTTGATTCTCATTGTTCAACTTATCCACCTTTACTTGTAGTTCCTCACATTCCGCCTGGTCAAAACAACAACAATCACACAAAAATAAAAGGAAACAGCATTTTAGACATCCAAGTGTCAGTTTTAAACACAATGGACAATGTAAACAGCAGTACAAATCCAATCTCCACCCCGAAAATAAATAAATAACAAATAATTCATTAAATATATTCACACCAGCTTGCGCAATCTTGACCTCCTTGCTGACTCCCTATTTGATTGCTTCCTCTTTTCTCGTTTTAGTTCACGTTCATCCTGTGAAAGCATGCATTAAATTTTGATGGGGGAAACCAAAAATATATATATATATATATATACACACACATACATACATATAAGAAGAAGAAGAAGAAAATAATATTTCAGTTACATAGAATAAAGGTATCAAATAAAGGTTGATCATTACTAACCTCATTCGCCAATATTTATGAGCAGTCACAATAAACATCAAACAAAGGTAAAATAACAATCTTGAGGACTACCAGACATTTCAGTCCTTTTTTTTGGTAGATGAAAGAATTCAGTTCCCATTGTGCTGATACATGTATAAAGCTAGAGTAGTACTTCATACAAAGAACATGTAATAGGGCAGAGAAAAAAAAAATTTCTGCACGCAAATTCTCTTTGCCATTCCATTCTACAGCCACATGATCTTTTACATCAAAGGTTATCAACTCTTCTATTACTACCTCAAACAACATTGTTTTATAACTTCCCCAAGTACCCGAACCTCAAAAAAGGTCAAACACCATATTTCTCCTCAATTGTGATGCCATAAAATGTGGTAGACAAGATTTTTTTTTTTTGATAAGTAAAATGTATTAAAAAGCGTTCAAAAGGGGAATGCGTCCCAAACTATACAAAGACAAAACGAAACCTATGAACTCAAAGAGCCCATGAAGTCAACAATCTCCTCAATAGAAGAGTAGTCCCTCCCCTGACCACAACAAAAAAGAGTACAAATAATAGAAAATTTCAGCACCTCAATGGAGGACTCCTTCCCATCAAAAGATCTACTATTCCGCTCTTTCCAAAGGCTCCACCAAATGCAAAACGGGATCACCCTCCAGAAAACTTGCGCCTGGGACCCCACCCATTGGCTCCTCCAAATATCCAACAACTCCCGGGAGGTCCAAGGCATTACCCAATGAATACCAAGCAAGCCAAAAATCAAACTCCAACAATCATCTCAGGATCCTTATTTAAGCTGAAAGTCCAAAATTAGAGGCAATTGGCCACTGTTAGTCTTGCCATTGGCAAGCTTTGCTGTAAGAAGAAGAGTGGATCCAGACCTAACTTTAGCATCATTTGCAAAAAGTGAAAGCTTTCAGACCATAGTTGTTAAAGGCGCCGGAGGCGCAAGGCGCCACCATGTCGCCTCCAATGGCTTAAGGCGCTGGGGTTGAATAGGGCAGCCGCCTTTGTATAACAGGCGCAAGGCCACAGGCGCACAGAAGGCGCGCCTCTTGAAAAAGGGAACTTTTTTATAGTTGTTTTGTTATTTTTTCGGTTTTGTATTCTTTATTATTTGATTATTAATTGTTTATTATTACTTTTTATTTGTTTATTACACAACTTACGAGTTACAAAACGAAAAAATAAAAAGAAAACCAAAAGCAAAAGTGGAAAGAGACAGATCTGCTGGCAGCGAAGGCGATATCTGCGAAGCTCTCGGATCTGCCGGCTCTCTCAGTCTCGGTCCTCTCGGATCTGCTGGTCAGTTCTCCTTCTCTCTCTCCTTCTTTCCTCCTCTCCTCCTTCTCTCTCTTCTTCTTCTCTCTTCTCTTCTCACCAAATCTCTGTCAGATTTTTTTTTTTTACTCTCTTCTTTTCTTCTTCTCTCTTCTTCTCCTCCTTCTATCTCTTCTTCTTCTCTCTTCTCTTCTCTCGTCAGAATGTCAGATTTTTTTTTTACTCTCTTATTCTCTTCTTCTTCTTCTTCTTCTTCTTCTTCTCTTCTCTCGTCAGAATGTCAGATTTTTTTTTTTACTCTTACTCTTTTCTTCTTCTTCTTCTCTCTCTTCTTCTCCTCCTTCTCTCTCTTCTTCTTCTCTCTTCTCTTCTCTCGTCAGAATGTCAGATTTTTTTTTTCTTTTTTCTTCTTCTTCTTCTCTCGGCTCTCTATTCTTTGAGTTCTTTCCTTTTGCTTTTGGCAGATTTTATTTATTTATTTTTATGCTTGTCTAGAATCTGGATGATGTTGGTCCTCTGTTTTTTTGAGGGGTTTTTGCGTAGTTGTTGTTTCTGTAGATTAGGGCCTTACTGCCTTGCATGTGTTTGGTGATGCGCCTGATTGTTTTTGTTTACTCCTTATTAAAACAGATAATAGAGATATACCTAATCAATCAATCATGGTGCTTATAGAAAATTAGATTGATTTGATTTGAAAATATAGCACATCCTTGATCCTTGTGGTTTTTGCAAGATAAATTCATAATTTCTATTTAATGCATCCAAACATGGTGCTTGCAACTTGCAAAAACGTTTTATTCATGCTTAATTCGTGCTAAATGAAAATTAGATTTGATTTGACTTAAAAGTAGTAATAGCACATCCATGTGATTTTTGCAAGATGAACTCAAATTTTCTAGCATCCAAACATTATTGCAATCTTTATATATACTATTGCATCTTTAATACTTTATTGGGTGGGTTTTGTTTTGTTTTTTTTCAACGTGCGCCTTACTTCGGTCGGGCGCGCCTTGCCTTGCGCCTCAGGCTCCAGGAGGCATTTGAGCTTTTGTGCGCCTTGAGCCTTTAACAACTTTGTTTCAGACTTGAATCTATATTACCAAGCTTGGTAGTCTGAATTTTCACAAAAAACCAGGCATTTGCACAAAGTGTCAGCTCTAGGACTTAAACCTGCATTCTCATGCTTGGTAGCACAAACTTTCACCAAAGACCAAACAATGGCACCTAAAATCCAATTTAGCTGTGCTCAACAAACTATAGAATGCTTGTTGTCTATCTAAAACTATGACTTCGCAGTGCTAGTCTCCTAGATGTCTTATGAAGTCTCCCTTCAAGTACATCAATTACAAAATGCTCTTGCACCATTTCGTCTAACCCAAAAGACTTGGACAAAAAATTCCGCCCCCCCCTCCCCCCCCCCCCCCAACCCCAAATACAGTTAGACGATTAGACCTGCCATAAATTTCACCTACCAACTTGAATCACTATTTTTTGGATCATATATCCATATAAATAAAAATATATGCTTAATCAAATTTGGATAATATCCCGTGCACAGTTATGTATTTATGCAGCTCAACCAATTGTAACTTTACCTGATATAACTGATGATCATGTAATATGCCTTCACGCCCAACCATTGTAGCAGAAGACACCAGTGGTGAGGCACCAGATGCATTTAGTCTTGTTTTCACAGGTGTGGCCCCAGCAGCAGATGCATTCCAGAAGTCCATACCAATATTTAAATTGGTTTTTGGCACGGGCTTCCCTTGAACTAAGGTTGAAGGATTTTCACAATTGTAGCGAACAGCAGCGTTATTCTTCACATTACCTTCTAAAGAAAATTTTAGAGTTAAAACTGGTATATTTAATTTCACAAAGACATAACCAATGTTCTTCAAGAAAATAGGACTACCATCAGCAAGCCTCTGGTTGAAGTTTCTCTTCTTAGTTGCAGATGATGCCTGGAAAAAAATTGAAAATTAAATAAAACTAGAAATCTAATTCACAACATATAATAAGTCCTACCTAATATTTGAAGTTAATCTGAAGGTCATCAAAAAGCTAAAAAATAGAAACAGAGTTCGGATAAGGCTTATGCAGCCTGGACAAAACCTATACCGAACTAAGCTTTGATTCCATGAACAAGTTCGTAAAACTGAAATCATGTACAGGTCCAGAATAAAGGTTTATGGGGAAGAGGGTGAGAGTGAGTGAGAGAGAGACAGCATAGATTCATACCTGTTGGTTATCATTTTCATCACTTGCTTCTGATGATCTGTCACTATAACTTTCAGCACTGGAGAAAGGCATTTGTTGACGATAAGAAAATAACATAGAATGTAACAGTCACCAACACTAACGAGTTTTAAGATATCTCTGCAAAAGAATAGTTCACCTTTGTGAGGCGCCATCATTTCCAGAAGCTGAAGCTGCCTTTTCGCTTTCTCCAGACTTGCTACCTATCAAACCTGTGATTCCTGGAGTTCCATTGGATTTTTTCATACACCCCAGTTCGTTTCCATCAGATGCCTTTCCTTCAGCCTCTGTATTTGTCAAAGTCGCACCCTGAGCCCACAAGGAAATAGATACAGAAATCACATTGTGCACAGGATTTTGTAATCTTTTCCAGTAGGGATACAAAGCTTAATTCCCACTTTGCCCGTTCATATCATATTTTCCCTTCTTTAAAATTGGCTGGTTATAGAAATGTCATGAAGGAGAAGGAAAGAAAAAAAAAAAAAAAGAAAAGAAAAGAAAAGAAAGAAAATTGTGCATGTGTGAGGGGGTGATGATGGTGGGGGAACATCATTAGAAGTTAAAATAAAATTTCAATGATAAACTAGTAGGTACCACAGCCATATTAGGATGAGCATAAAGTCCTCCATGAGGATAGAAAGCTGGGTATGGAAGTGGAGTTCCATATGGTGGTACCATAGGATGCTGAAAAAACACCAACAAAAGACAGATTAGAGTTTCTCATGAAAATCAAGGACCCAGCCAGTTTTCACAGTATGCAAACTTTATTAAATCTTTCACATCGGAAATAATCACCTGACTCCCCCATAGGTAAGGATGGGGAGCTTGGGATGCCACAGGAGAAGCGAAAAAATGAGATGGAGTAGCTCCAGCACCATAGTATGCCTATTGAAGGATAAGCTAATAAAAAGATTCGCTTATTAAACTAATATAGTTCAAGATAATAAGAAACCAAATGCGAGACAAACCTGCATAGAAGCCGTCCAATCAGGATACAGTGGGGTAGTTGGTGTTTCCTGCCGATTAAAAAACAAATAAATAAATAAAAAATTGATAAAGAAGAAAAATTAGCAGAACTTTTTGCGACTGAGCACATGACACGATCCAGAGACACAAACATAGAGAGAGAGAGAGAGACCTGAGTCAAACCAGTAGGTCTAGAAGACTTAGCAGGCGAGTTCTCTTCACCAGCCTTCATTGCTCAGCAGCTCACGAAGTTTCGTAATCCACCTTAATTTCAACCATTTACGACTAGCTCCTGCATATGATAAGGAACTCCATAAAAATTCGGAAATAATCAAATCAGGGAATATAAGCAGCCTCAGACAGGGAAACATTTAGATATCTTTTGATATTCAACAACTAGATGTTCACACCTTAGCATTTAAGCCACTTAAAACTCTTGCACTCTTGCAGCATATCGAGAAGAAATAACAATTCAAACTTGAGGTAATATAAAAATAATAATTGCTGAGCAATGAGTTCTATGATATAGTATAACTAGTTGATAAACAACCTTATGATTCACTTTTGCTTTTGGTAGACATGTCAGTTGTTCTCCAGCACTACAAACTACTGATATCAAAGGATGCAAGTGGTGCATCTAATGAGAACATGTGGAAGTCACACAAACTCTTTTGTGCTGTGGTAAAACACATTACTTTAGTATATGTTATCAAAGCCATGTGCAATTCCCATTTCCTGGAAATTCTGTTCCAAAAAACAAGGGGAAATTCAGGATACTCATTTCTGCTATTTTGACAAGGTATACAAAAATTGAGGAGTTTTTCTGGGGAACCGTTGACAAACAAAATTCCCAATGTACCCTTAACATTTGGGTAAATTAAACGTTGAGGTTCTTAGTATGTTGGTGTAATGCTTCCCATCCATTTTGACATTGTTACTCTTAGGGTTTTCAAACGCTACACAGCCATCTTAAAATGGTTCTCCGACCCCAATATGGCAATATCACAGCCCCCAGTCCCCTTTTCTGCTTACCATACCAGTAGCTACAGAGCAGCCGTTCTAAACATGGAGTTACTGCCATGCCAGATGCATGTATTTTTAATCTACTAGATCAGTTTATATTCTTGCCATCACATTTCTCCATTCATTTTTTTCTTTTTTTAATTTTTGAAACAAGACAGTTTCCTAAAGTGTATACTAAAACAACAGGTAGTCCATGATGTCCATCATATGAGCATGTTCTTATTTTATGTGGAAAAACAAGGGCATCGTGCCCCTTTCAAATATATTCGACTCCGTGAAAAAAATCAAATTTTCAAAATACCTTCCAGAGCTCTTCCCACCATTTACTCCACCAGCCCTCAAGTGAACAGGTTCTGTTATGCTGAAAGATAGAGAAAAAAATACTATTCATGACATTAAAAGGCTTGGAAGAATCCTGGCACTGGTCATAAATGATTAGTTGGAATTCCTTTTCATCTTGATCAACGGAATCTACAATCTATTAATACAATATAATTTCCAAAATTAATGGCATTATGGTTCCTGAGGGGTGTGTGTACTGCCTTCAGCAAGATCAGTGGTATGTATTTTTCCCAATTCTATGCCAGTAATAAAAATATTGCAGTGGCATTTAGCCTAAAGATTTGCAGTAGCAACCTAAAAAAATATAAAAAATATTGCAATGGTATTTAGCCTAAAGATTTGCAGTAGCAACCTTTTATATCTTCTTTTATGGAAATTTGAGACGCAGATCGTATAATGACTCCCACAAGTTGAAGCACACAAAAGACACATGGATTCCATATAAGGGTTTCCTTTGAATGTTATAATGTATCAGGTGACCAATATTATATTTAACGAGAACATTGAACTAGAACAAATGTCTTCGGGATACTCTCTGATATCTCAGGTATAAACTTTCAGAAATTTCAAAAGAACATACTCTGATGCATGTAAGGTTTATGGGGGCAAGGCATATTCAAGCAGTTTGGAAATTACAAGATAAAGATACTAAAGATTCCAGATCAAACATGGAATAGAGGAAATTCTGGCAGTGGCCAATATTCCACGTTGTTTGGGTATGTTCTACGTTCTAGTCTAGTTGTTATGTAGACATTTCACGTATATCTCCGTGGACGTAGGTTGAGTTGGGCCGAACCACATTAAATATCGTGTCATCATGTGTGCTTGTTTATGATTTGTTTCCGCTATGTATGCCGAAAAATGGTTAATATTTCTTTCAGACACCTAAACAAAGGCATAATCACAAATTAAATCAAACTGCCCCACATCAAGCTCCCCTGAAACAAGTTTTACTGATACGAGAAAGAGCTTTCAGAATTTGCAGCTTGGTATCATGTTTCACTTTCACCCAACATTTTCCCAAAACAACTTATCCCGTGTGAAATAGATAATTAGCAACAAGCATGTGAATTCAAATAGCAATCTCTAATACCCTCTAATGATAGATGATAAGATTTGAACCCAAGTCATCCACTAAATGGTGAAAATAATTTCATCACCAGGCAAATGGAACACGGATCTGATATTTTTAGTAGTTTAATCAAATAAAGGATTGATTTCTTGATAGTTACATATATATATATATATATATATATTTTGGCTCCCAAATCACTTTAAGTGCCTCTTTGGTCAATGCCCTAAATTTCCCTAGTGAATGTGAATTCCCTGACATTTTAATTTCCAATTTACATTACACTTTTTTAAGGGAATATAACGACACCCGCACAAGCATGCCCCATAAAACAAATTTCATATAAATAAAGCATAGGAGTTCATGTTTTTATACCGAGGAGCCATCTTTTATTTATTCTACAATTTAGGTGACAACCTGAAATTTGTAGTAACAGAAGGTAATGAATCATATCAGGTCTACTGAACAATGCAGTTTCTCAAAGGCACTCCAATTCTCTACACTTATTAATCTCCACTAGCTTTTGAGGGGTAAATTTGTCATTTTAGTTGTTAAAACAAAGCAAGTAGAGTGCCTAGAGGAGTGAAGTGCCAATATCATCATATCCCCTCTCTCTATTCCCTGATATACATTTTACGCTTTTTAATTGTGGCAATTCCTTTAACCAGTGAACAGCTTTCAATTTTCAGAACCTTGACTATGTATTCATACCTCACTAGTCACTCCATTTGCTCCAATGAACAAAGCCTGAATTTGCAAAAATCTACCACTTTTCTAGTAGTTAGTGTTCCCAAATTTTATAAACTCATAACCTAGAAATTTAAAGGGCTTTAAAACCCAGTTTCATGTGATTTGGTACAGAAACAGAGAGTTTATTATTGTTATCAAAAGGAAATCTATTAACCCACTCAAACCCATATTAGTTCATCACAACAATTCGTTGCTAAATGGTAGATTCTAATGCAAAACACATGTATATAATCACTAAGAACCACTGAAATTATATATATATATATACACACACACACACACATATGGGTGTGTGAATATAAACATGCCTTCTACGAAATATTTCCATTTTGAGAAAGAAAGACTCAAGAACTGAGAAATTGAACATAAGCAGAATCAAATATTATCAGAAACAGAAATCCAACGCCTGGTTGTTAAATTAAGGAACACATGTCAGAAACAAACGACATACCGCAAATATATATATATAAATATATATGTATAGAGAGAGAGAGAGGGAGAGAGAGAGAGAGCTATTCTTACGTCGTAACGAAGAAGTGAGGTGGAGGGCCAGGTGTACAGACAGAGACAACGGATCGTTTTTCTTTGTTCTGGAGTTCCGATAGATATAAATGGGCAGTGAATGAGAAAGAGACAGAGAGCGGTTGGGCGTTGGGTGTTTAAGAATCAACGGCTGAGAAACAAGTTAGGGTTCAGGCTTCTATATCTGTACGGATCAGAAAGGTTCTTCGAAATACTAGAAACATTATCAGTCTTTGTGTTACAAGTTACTGTACCACTCTTGTCTCAATTTAATTCGGAGTAAGTCTTTTTTAAATAAATAAATAAATTAAATTTAAATCATAATCTTTTTTCTTAAAAAAATTGTACACATGTCAACATAATACTTGGGAGGACCGGATTAAAATAATATATGTGTCTTAAGATAAGGAGTCCGCGTATAACTCTTGACTTTTTAATGGATAAATGAAAATAATAGAATTTATTAGGTGAGATAAGGTAGGGTTAAATACACTTATCTCTTTAAAGTTTGGCCTAATTATATTGATATCACTATTTTACCATTATATTTTCAATAATTTAATAATAAAAAATATAAAATTTTACTTGTAAAATTATATATTTTCCCACGTTATAGTTCCGCTCTTTGTTGACTCTCTCTTCTCCCCCTCCTCCACCACCACAATCACCATCCACCAACCATGACACCTACGATGTTTTGATTCTTTTCCACCTTGCTTATGTGAACTGCGACATAATTCTAAGATCAAATCACTGTTACCAAGTTCAAGGCATAAATTCGCAAATCGGTATCTTGGAAGACCAAGGACCAAATGGTCCAAATACCTAGAAGAAACATATAAAAAAATCCATAAAATGAAGAGTATAAACACAATGGATATCCAATAGATGAAACCCAGATAAGACTCGGGTTTGAGTTTGAAAAGGATAGCACAATCGATACAACACTCACCTATAATCTGGCAACAAATTCCTTAAAACCCAAATCTTTTCTTACAAAAAAAAGAAAAGAAAAAGATGTGACTAGAGCATGTAACATTGCCTTTGTGTCTACGTGTGTCTGTAAGAGAAACTTAGTAATATTTAATAGCTCATAAAGTAATCTGAGGTGGCCGTTAACATGTTAGGGAAATGGAGTTTTTCAAATATTAGAGAGAGCTTTTAATCTTTGGATCTTGATTCATCTTTAAATGCTACTTTAATTGAAGAAATAATGATGTTCATCACATAGAGTTGGCAAACTTACAAAAAAACTTTAAAAAAAACCTCACAAATCTCCACAAAAATAAATGTTCTCACTTATAGAAGTTTGATCTACAATCCTTAGGCCTTCTTTTTCCTTATTTGTGGATTTGTCTTTAGGAATCACCAATATGCATCCATGAATGACCTTGCATGCATAGCTTGTGAGAGCTCCTTGAAGAAAAAAGTGCACTCCAACCCAAATTCTAATGGTGCCCAAAGGCTTCCTAATGATACACGTCATTCATGTATATATAAACACAAGGAGTGGAATTAATAATTCTCAATCTCAACAAATAAAAGTGATAACTCCAATCCTTATTGGGCCTCCAATATCAAGTTGGGTTATTGGCGAGAATCCTTTGGGCTTACTATTCTCTTGGCTCCAATGAATTAATAATTGTTAACTCAGTTCAACAACCATAAACCTAATTCAATTAATTCATAAATTAATTTATATTACACTAAAAGAAATTAATTGACTTCTAATCAAATAGTAAATAACCACTAAGTCAATGTTGCACTTTGACCACTCTATGCATAATTAACTATTGGATAATTGAAGCTATCAATCCGACTGCACAATTAATATATTTATTTTGGTTCCTTAATTATTTCCCGACTTGATCATAATAAAATATATTTTGACAAAAAGAATAATTTATTAAATAGATACATAAAAACTATTTTGTCTAAAGCACACGAGGCCTTCGAAGTTACTTTGTGATCAACCATAATCAACACAAAATAAATACAAGTAGCAACGATGCAAATATTGAGAATATAACCCTCTAACTATTAATTACATAATTATCCAAAGTGTCGGTTATTGGATCCTGAAGGCTCCACCGAACAAATCAAAATAATTACTGATTAACAAAAGAGTCTATGCTTCTCTCATACTTGAAAGTCAAATGCCACGACGATGATAGGGAGCAATTGCATACGACGGCTCTCGCAATATATCTTAACATATCGCGGATCAGGTTCAACTCTTAGTTAATTAAGAATCCATCATTGATTATTATCTACGAACTATTTATGATTGCTATTTATATTCTTGTATTGATCGCAATCACATACATATAAATATCTGTTGTAATCAAGTGGATACATTTAATTCCATAATCTGAAACACAATACATTTGCATTCACCAATTGTATAAAGCATAAATATCATTTCAGATTAACGTAAGGAACATATGTTTCTACTATCCAAGTAAGAATTCGCTATGCCAGGATATATAAATCTCAACAAACCAATAGTTGGTTGACCTATTACATTGGCGTGTCAGAGTCTTAAGGGACTCAGAGATTTCTTACCAAATTATTCCTATCGGGTTGGGTCTTTGACCAAATTTGGTTCAGGCGAAAGTTTGAGAGTAAGAATGACCCTCTCCTTAAGGTTGTTATTGCTTTTGAGAAAGGATTTCAAACATTCAAAGATAACAATTAAAAGCAGATTAATAAAACAACAATTAGACCTGAATTTGCAACCATTTCTTCATTGATATTTGAAATGATTACAGTGATGAATGAATTGCAAACTTTTGATTGGAATGAAAAACTAAAGAACTAAATGTTAAAAGGTAAAGTAAATGATAGGCTAATAATAATGTAACGACCCGGTTATTTACCTCCCTTTCTTTTTTCCTGAAATTTTACGAATGAAATTTTTTCGTTTAATTTTCCTTTCTGAACTCTGTTTCTTGTCTCTTAGTGTCGTCTCGAGTGCTTGGAAATGATTTCTAAACTCTTTTCCGTGGATTGATAACTTCCTTTGAGGACCGAGTCATTTCTGCATTTTTACTTTTCAGACACTATGCGCTATTTCGTCCTTTTCCCTATTCTGTCTTATCTCCTTTTGTCACTTGTTTGGCAAAACCTCACTTTTCGTGCTCAGAGTTAGTTTTTGACTTCACATACCTTCATCTTCAGTGGTTTCCTCGAAATACGTATCTTTACTTTTGTAAGAAAGTACTCTAGTTGCTCTCGGTGTCCACAGGGGCATAGATGCACTATTCTTCAGAATCTTTTTCATTTCTTAGGGTGTTTTTCATAAATATCTTTTGAAGATATTTTATTTCAGGGGTATCTAAGAAAAAATCTTTTGGAAGATATTTTCATTCTGGGGCAGTTTCGCAGTTAACCCTTTTTGTAGGGGCCATTGTGCAATTAACGAAAGTTATTACAAAATGTCTCGTCTGGAGCCTGGATCCTCGTATGGGATTCATTTTCACATTTCGTCGAGTCATGGACTCTTGGAATTTTTTTCTGGTCATTTTTTTTTTTCAGTTTCAGAGTTTCTGGACCCGGTTGCAGCCGAACTTGTTCGGGGCATAACTTTCTGGTCGAGGCTCAGTTTATGACGCCGTTTCTTCCGTTGTTCATCTTTTCTCATTTTGAATCTTTTTTGTTCACGGAGTTTTGCCATTTGAGCACGTTTGCTCAAAATTCACTTTTCCGGACCCGGCGGGGCCCTTTTCGGGGCACTTTTTGGGACTTACTATAAATAGAAAGTCATAAAGTGAAAAATCACTTTTTCACTCATCTTCTCCACCTCTTGGCCGGCAACCGTGGGAGCTCCTTGGCTGCCACCCTTTCTGTGACGACCCTGGTGTTTAGGCCAGCGTGTCCTGTGATGAACCGTAAGGATGATCCGATAACGGATCCGAATGCGGAAGCGAAGATAGAAAACAAGACTCTAAGAAGTCAAAGTGACCTTCCATGAGGTCGTGGAACTCAACAAGAACTGATGCGGAAGCAAAAAATCAAAAATATGACAAAGAAGCCCCCAGGGGCAAAATAGTCATTTCTGAAAACTGTAGATTCAGGTGCCACCGAGCATACCGCTGGAAGGACAACAAAAAACTAATCAAGATGGACTCAAGAATCGCATGATTCGGAGTCCGGACGAAGGAGAAACGGCATGACGAAGAAAAACGAGCACTTAAGGCAAAAAAGGATAAACTGGTAATTATTTAGGAAGAACCGGGTGCAACCGAGCACACCGTTGGAAAGACAGCAAAAAATTAGTCAAGTTCAAAAAAAAATTCACTTGAATCGGAGTCCAGACGAAGGAGAAAAGCTCAAAAGAAGAATTGACGTCACGACGGCCTGACGAGGGGGGCCATGACAGCCCCCATGCACGCCCATGCACGCCGCGCGCTCGCTGGGCGCACACACGGCTGCCAGCAGCCCAAAAGCTGCTATGGGGTCATTTTTCAGAAAAATCCAGAATAGAGGCTGAATTTGGAGGCCTAGATGAATTTTTTTGCAAAAACACAAAGAAGAAACCCCCCTCAAAATTGAGTTTTCTACGTGACTCACCAGAGAATTCAAAAAAACTCAATACAAAATGCCCAAAATTCCCTCCCAAGAAATCTGGTCCAGAGGGTCGAAAAAGCTGCTAAATAGAAAACTGAAAGCTGAACTTTGTAAGCGATTTCCGATGCCAAGACGACATTTTCTAGAAAAATATGAAAAAGAAACCCCCCCTAAAATCATGTTTTCTATTCAACCATATTGAAAGAAGGAAATACAACTGAATTGAAAAGTCTAGAATACCCCTAGATCAGAATATGCAACGAAAACGCAAAATGAAATCGTAGGAGGCTCAAAACACAAACGATAAGGTTTTGCCCAGAAACGACCATGCACGCAAACGTAACTTACCTATTTGGACGTGCTATAATGGTCCACAACTTAAAAATATAGCCGATGCAAAATCCGACCCCCTAACGGGCAAAAAGGAAAAAATGGACTTGGAATGGAAAACATGGAATCCAAAAATACAAAACGGGATCAAATGACCGTTTGGCCCTTGGCCACACTTCAAACATGATTTATGAGACCCTATGAAAGAATGAGAATGGAATTCCCACACCCGATGCAACCATGGTGAAGTAATGACTTGCGATTTTTTAAGGTTTTCATAACATTTCATGAAGTTAAAAAGTTGCATA